GTGCAGAGACAAATATGCAGTTTTATGCTATTCTATACATTTTGTCATGAGGCTAAGAGAAAATGTTGCAGTTTTAAAGCAAATTTCCTGCGTAATTCTACACTTTTTGCCATGGGGCAGAGAAAAATAATTGCTGTTTTATAGCTCATCTCATGCTTTTGTTCACATTTTGCCGTGAGGCTTAGAGAATGTGAAGTTTTAAACGTTCGATTTTTTTTCTCCTTGAGACTGAAAATGTTTTGAAGCTAATTCCCAGCAATTCAACACATTTCGCTATCATATGCTATCTGGGGGACCGTTCGGTAATCCGTCCCTGAAGGTTGGGCTATATTTCTGCAGTTTGTACATCAGTGTCAACAATGTGAGCTGTGATCAGCTCTGATGTTAAAATACTCCAGCAGGGATGCAGGGGGCACTATTATCTCACAATTGTACTTCTCCACATGCCACCTGACTGGGTTTTATATGACTCTCTCAGACAGAGAATGAATGCCTTTATTTTATTACTATATCAATATACTGTATTTCATGGTATTCAAAATGCCATGGTTTCGAGTGTTTGAGAAAGATACGAAGCAGTCATGAATTATGATAGGGACATTTTATATTGAGCAGTGAATAATTATCTATGAAATCTATATTCCAGGACCTCTATACCAGGCGGTGTCAGAGGAAGGCCCTCAAAATTGTCAAAGACTCCAGCCACCCTAGTCATAGACTGTTCTCTCTGCTACCGCACGGCAAGCGGTACCGGAGTGCCAAGTCTAGGTCCAAAAGACTTCTCAACAGCTTCTACCCCCAAGCCATAAGACTCCTGAACAGCTAATCATGGCTACCCGGACTATTTGCACTGCCCCCCCACCCCATCCTTTTACGCTGCTGCTACTCTGTTAATTACTTATGCATAGTCACTTTAACTCTACCCACATGTACATATTACTTCAACTACCTCAACTAGCCGGTGCCCCCGCACATTGACTCTGCACCGGTACCCCCCTGTATATATAGCCTCCCTACTGTTATTTTATTTTACTTCTGCTCTTTTCTTCTCAACACTTTTTTTGTTGTTGTTTTATTTTTACTTTTTTGTAAAAAATAAATGCACTGTTGGTTAAGGGCTGTAAGTAAGCATTTCACTGTAATGTCTGCACCTGTTGTATTCAGCGCATGTGGCCAATAAAATTTTATTTGATTTGATTTGATTTATTGACATATATATTTAGTATTACCAAGGCAGCAGTTATGTGAAGCTTTACATACATCACTCTGGATCTGCAGGATCTAGCTTCTAATCGTCCATTATTCTGCTTCTAAAAGGTGAGTGTGCAATTGATAATGTAATAACGCCATTAACGAGAAGAAACAACAAAGCTCTTCAACACCTCATTTTATTGTCCCAACATTCAAAAGTACAAATAATTCAAACACAACAGTTTTATGAGAAAAAAAAAACATTTACAGCAAGATTTTTATTTTGTTTCCAGTTTCAGAAATTACCTAAACTAGCAAGGATAACATGAAGTCATTCATCGCAGTAATTGGATTAAGAATAAGAATACTAAGAATAACAGCAATAATAATAATAATAATAACAATAATCAATAATCGATAATTGATAAGTGATAGCATAAGTAAGAGAGACCAGTAAGGCCCTGTGAACTTTTTTCTTATTTTTTTGTCTTTAAAGATAGATAATAGATTTTCAGATAGTAAACAAACACATTTCAGGAGAAAATGAAAAATAACAAGAGCCTTGTTCCTCTCTTTACCTTCCCTCCTACACTACTGGCTGTTGATTTCCTATTGGCAGGCTGCCACTATAAGGCGCTACAGGGGATGGTGTGAGCCATAGGGGTTGGACATAGACCGAGATGACACAGCCCCATGTTTCAAACACCCTTACAAACACACACACACACACACAGAAACGTTTTCACTAACACACTCACACGCATGAACACACAGACGCACAAGAGGGTCTAGACGAAACACAGGCACACATCATAAGAGTTCAAAAGACATAGGAAATATGTTCACACATCAGAACGACATTCTACTGGGGTTGTTGCATAATTCAAGCTCCCAACAGCTCTGGAGCATGAAAAGGGGTCCGTTGGCGTTCTGAGGTCAGAACCTTATAGTGGTTGGATGATGTCAGATGGGCTGCCTAAGACGTAGTTATGAGAGAGTATGTATATGCATGTCAGTGTTTACAATTTCCCTACACCTCATGTTTTCTGGCTCAACAAAATCCAATTCAGTACTTCTGGAACCATTCCCTACCGTTACCTTTCAAAATATATATAATATTATAGTATATAAAATATAGAATGGGTACAATCCATGAAATACCTTCAGTCTTTTTAAATTGCAACAACTGCCATAAGTACAGTTAGTGTGCAATGCTCAAGATCTCTTTAAAGAGATGTTCTTATGTCATTTTCAAACATGATGATTCTCTAAAAATAAGTTTCACTCTTAGGTGAGTTGACTGATTACTCCAGTACAATGAATGACCATCAAATACAATGGACATATATTTGCTCATCAAATTCATGTGCCCGAGCCTCCAAAATTGGATGTTATAAAATGTTTGAAAACTGAAAACTATGCTTCAGACCCACATTTTTGCATAAAGTTTCATCACAAAGCGGTAGTGTGGAGGGAGGGTGCGGAGTGGCTTTAAAACGACACAAACTTATCACAGGTTATATTGAACCAGAACAACTGTTATAACATTCTATTAAGACTAAACTGTATTGAAAAAGATTTTAACAAGACAAGAAAAAAGCAATAGCAAATTTAACTATCAACTAGGTTATGCATAGCGAGTAACTGTTTCTAGTAATAAGGGAAGAGCGTCACCAACCCTCTTGACATTTTTTTTAGTTTTCAACTTTTAGATTTTTTATACTGTAATTCTGATATATCGGTACAAAGCACAAACATACTAAAAGTTCTCAGTGCAGTGGACTAACGGAAGAGCCTCTCCCCTAGTCGCTTGGTTCCCTTTTGCTCAGAAACGTCCCCCCTCCCTGTACCAGAATCACGCAAATACACAGACGGAACAAATAAATACAAATATAAATAAATAATCAATATAAATAAATAAATAAATAAATAAATAGTTGAAGCAATGAAACAATAAATAAATAAATGAATAAATAAGTTATTTTCTAAGCTTTTGTTCAATTTCTTTTGCCGCGGTAGTTAACAAAAATGTAATCCAAAATGTTTTTTTTCTTCCCACAAGCGACATGACAACATATTAAACAGGATTCCTCACTAGTTTTCTAAGTAACTGAACCATCACTTCATAAAGTTGTCATATGAAAAAGACAAGCTAAAACAAAAAACAGTGACAACTCATATAGATATAGATATTGTAAAACAAATGTAGACTATATATTATCTATTTGTACACAACAAATAAAGACACAGTTGTAATAGATCCTTTGAGGAAACAAATATCTAGACTAACAGAACTAGCTAATTATTATAGAATTTTGACAATGCTTCACACTCAGCAAGTAACCTAAAAGTCAGCAAGTCAAAGAAAACTCGTTAAGTGATTCTTACACGGCCCAAAGTCCGTCATCTGGTTTTTCAGCAAGGAATAGTCTAACCAGATGGGGGCCAACAATAAAAATAAAAAAGAACAGCAGCTCAATTCAATGTCAACATCAAAGTAGTTTTTTCCTCTAAACAACACATAGAACAACAAACTTGGATATTTAAGATATGTGAATCATGTAATATAGCACCTACTGTTGATCGCTAAAGGACGTTATTTTCAAAGTCCACAAAATGATAGCAAAGAAAACAATAGATAATGTATGTTTTCTAAATGGATAGATGTGTATATATTCATTACTGATATCCCATAGACTGATGACAAAAATAAAACAAGTGGACAATGCTTCTTGCTTTGGGCTCTGGACTGTGAGGATGGTTAGGCCTTGAAAGGCCTCTTTCCCTTCCCTTTTGGGTATCGCTGTTGAATAATTAAGCACTATGAAAAATTACGAATATCACCTGCCTCAATTTGCATCCCTTGACAAAACCTTCCATCTACAAAATCCTCACCAATCCATTTCTCCTACAAACAACCTTTGATCCTAAAAAGTACCACAGCAGAACGAACAAGACAAGGTGGCGCACATCCCTCCCCCCACCCTCTAATTAGCCAGTCAAAATATTTTTCTATTTTTTTCAAATCCAGATTCTTGTAAAAATTCTTCAATAATTATTATTTTAATTATCATATTATAAAAATAGATTTTCTTCTCTTTATTTTTTATTTTTCTAAACGCATTTTCAAGCAAAGAGATTTTCTCTTTGGCAATAGTGTTTTTTAAATCACTTAACGTGTCACCAGGAATGCTAACCCATCCCCTCCCTCTCCCGATCTCCCAAACCCCAGTGAGGAAAGACATGTTTTGTTTGCAATACAAAACATTTTTTTAATATACTTTTTTTCTGCATCAGAGAAAACAGGATTGTGTAATCCCTTAGAATTTATAGGGGTTTTTAAATATACACAAAAAATGAATGAATGGTCACCAATTTAAAAAAGAGCCCCCTCCCTTCTTCTGTCAGGGAGACCTAATTCTAACGACAGTGGATCCGGATTTTAAAAAGAAAGAAATCCTGAATCAAGACCAAGAAAGTTCAATCTAAAAAGGATATTCTCTTCTTTGAAATAAGGGGACTGGTTTTGCTACTGTTTACATAGAAGAGAAAATAATTTAACAACCACAAGAACAGAAAGGATATACAACAGGAATCCTGTATTATCACAGAGGTTCCCAAATCATGGATATTTTTATCTTTCATTTTGTAATACTTAGGCAACATTGGCTTATAGGTCCAAAGCTATATTATAAGCCGTTTCTAGTTCTTTTTTGTTTGTTTGTTTGCTGTGTTCCTGTTGGAGAGTTGCTGTGTTGGGCGACTATAAGGGTGGTGGTGGTGACAGGGGATTTGGAGTGAGGAAGGGTTCAGGACTTGTGGGTCTTGTTGGTCTTGAACGAGACTTGCAAGACGCGGTCGCCCAACCGGTACCCATTGAGACTGGCGATGGCCATGGCTGCCTCGTCGTAGTTCGTCATGGTGACGAAGCCGAAGCCCTTGCACTTGTTAGTGTTGAAGTCGCGGATGACCTTGACGTTGTTGACTGCTCCGAAGGGCCCGAACAGCTGCCACAGGACGCTCTCGTCAGAGTCTGGAGACAGGTTGTAGACAAAGATGCACCAGCCAGTGCCTGTGTGGCCAGGGATGTTCATGCCCACCAGGCTAGTCATGCTGTCAATGGTGATGGGAGAAAACCTGCACCACAAGATAGACAGGGAGAGAGAGAGGGAGGGAGAGAAAGAGCACAATGTTAAGTGAAACAAATGTCAAATTGAGATAAATTGGAAACCTACTGCGTGTGCATGGATTTACAAGCTCTGAGCTTGTAGGACAAGCCATTTCCCAATACACTCAAGTTCCCAAAGTGAAACCAAACTCTGCAATCCCAAGCATCTACTGTATTGGTTTTAAGTCTTTATAACTAGCTCCAACCAGCCCTCAGTACATACAGTACCAACCAAACAGCTCTAGCATTCCTATCCATCCAACATGGATTATTACCAGTGCTATCCAGTGCACGATGCACTATGGGTATGTCTGTCTGTGTACTGTATCCTCCTGCTAGACTATCTCCCTTCTATCGCTCCTCCATATTGACTGAGCGGCTTCTTCTCAAGGCTGACTGCTCTGTGGGGGCCTGCTGGGAAATGGCTCCAGCAGCAGCATCCGAGGGAGGGAGGCACAGGGGAAGCTTTTCTCCTTCTGTCTTCCTGAGTGCCTCTATTGGGAACTAAATTGCAGGAACTTGCTGACTTAAAACATTTGGAAATTCATCGATATTGAGTATGCAACCAAGTAAATCTGCTCTTATTCGTCCTGTAATCTTCTCCCTTTTTGCGATACAGAGATTTGAATGCTCAGTTGACTTCACTTATTGCCTTTCCGCTTAAAGGAAATTATCACTTTAAATAAAAGGTAAATTGGATAAAAGGTTCATTTCTTATGCCACCTCTGTAGGAATGACTATAAGCATTATTGGGTATGCTTTAATTGAGATTTCCGCTTTACTGCAGCTGTGTCAGAGAAGCCTCCCCCTTATTAAGGAAGGAGCAAACTAAATGGAAAATGGAAGCACTTTACAGCCCAGTACCAGTAGCATTACGAACAAGTGTATTCCATCCACCAACACTGCAGTCATCTGTTTTGGGGTGGATGAGGATGACAGTGATCAATAGTCTTGCTCAGACCCCAGAGCCTCTAAGTATCGGCAAGAATCAGTACTACATGAGCTTTAACATCTTTGTCAACACAATATGCTTTTTGGTTATTGTTTGTGTCTCATTACAGCCACTCTATCACCCTGTGTAAAATGTATATTTTTAACAGCAAGTCTTCCCTTGACTAGAGGTCTTAAAACGTACAGTTATGAATATAACTACTGTTCCCTGAAGGCGGGAACGAGGTATAACATACTATGGACAGTCAACGACCAATCATACTCACCTGAAAACTGAAACCACGCCCAAACCCCCTGGGCCAAAATATGTTATACCTCACTCCCTCCTTCAGGGAACAGTAGTTATATTCATAACTGTACACTCCTTTTCAGTCGGTCACTTGGTATAACATACTATGGGGACATAAAATCACGCCCCAAGCCGGCTCAGAGGGTACCAAACTAGGAGGCCCACAGCAGCCCAAGCACAGACAGGTTCCACCAGCTCCAAAAAGGGGTTACAGAAGCCACCTTTTCCCCTAAGGCCTGAACTGTCAGACCCCATATAGGGAAACAGAACCTGCTGCAACTTGGCTATGCCCACTGACACGCTACCACTGCAGCCCAAGTCCATAGACCCCATGTTTCCAAGAACAATACGTACCTTGCGAACCTGAAATGTCAGAACTCGTACAAGAAACGGTCCAAAACAACAGAACACCTGTCTTGACTTGGTAAAGAGCACACGCGCGCTGCATAGCATCGACCAGATGCGATGAAACACGGCAGCCCAAGGCTCAAACCCACAGGTAACTGTGATAAATGCACAACCTGCGCCCACTCCCAGACCCAGCCATAAGAACACTATGAGCCACACTGTTACATCCAAGCGATAAAACCTCACAAAGTTATGTGGGGAACCCAAACTCGCTGCAGCACAGACATTACCAATCGTCATTCCTCTGAAAAAGCCCAATGCCTGGTCCCAGGTCGGTGCCATAGGCTTAGACACTGGTCTGAGCCGACGCACACCTTTCAGGAACCGCACCACCAGAGGTTGAGACCCCGGGGTAGAGCCATCAATTCCTACAGGACATGCCAAAATGGCTACCATATAAACCTTCAATGTGGAAAAAGAAATGCCCTGCTCAAAAAGCTCTTGCGGGAACATCAAAATGTCCACCAAAGAGCTCTGAAAAGGAGAAACTCTTTTACACTGAAACCAAACCCTCAAATGCGCACCACTTACTGTATATGGATTGATGACCGAAATATTCAGCTTTTACAAAATGTTATGCTGTTTTCAAATTAAACAAAATACCTTGCTCTTGTTAAAGCTTTTAGAATTGTTTTTGTTGTTGTAGCGGGCGCATGCGCCAACTGTTTAGTCGTAATCACATTTGAGTGTAAACCCCTAGCCGTCAAATTCAACCTTTCAGAGGCCAAACCCACAGATTCCATATCTAAGGTCGTAGGTGCCAAACTCTCCTATGCATCTGGGACAATAGATCCCGACAACACGGAACCCTCCACGGGTCCCCGCCTAACAGGCAGATGATCTCCGGGAACCAGGGTTGTCTGGGCCAATGGGGAGCCACCAGAATCAACAACAGACCCTCCTGACGGACCCGCTCCATGGTGGCCTGAATCAGGTCTACTGGAGGAAACTCAGCTAGAGCAGGGTCCAACGGAGCACCCAGATCCCTCATTGAGAAGAATAGACGACAATGCACGTTTTCTCGCGATGCGTAAAGATCTACGGCAGCCCTGCCGAACCGGTCCCATATCTGGGCAACCACCAAGGGGTGCAGTCTCCACTCCATAGAGATAGAACCCCCCCTGGAAAGTAGAACCACACCCACGTTGAGAGATCCGGGAAGATACGTTGCCCTGAGCGACAGGAAATGCGCACTGCTCCATACGAGCAGATAACGGGCGAGGAGAGAGAGAGACCGCGTCCCCCCTGCCTTGCTGATGTACATCACTGCCATCCTGATGTCGAACCTTACCAACACATGATGCCCCTCCAACATCGGAAGGAAATGCCTCAGCACTAGCAAAACAGTCAGTAGCTCTTGGTAATTGATATGCAGCGCCCTTTGCGCTGTTGACCAAATCCCTCTTTCCAAGTAGCCCACACACAGAGCTCCCCATCCCAGTAAGGATACGTCTGTCATGATCACCCTGCGGGACACTACCCAGCCCATGAGAACCCCCTGCAAACAGCAGTCACGGGTACCTCAAAGGAGTCAACGTCCTTAGGCACGACAGGAATACCTTGATAACTGATGTGGCGAGATGCGTCCAGACGCGTAGCAATCACCCAGCGCTGAAACAGACGCATCAACAGAAGTCCCAGAGGCACCACAGCTATCATAGAGGCCATCAGACCCAATAACCGCAGGCACAAGTGAAAAGGCACCGAGTGCCCCAGCTGAAACTGTGCCAGACAGAGCCGGAATGCAAACTTTTCTTGTGATCCACTATGAACCCCACAGACTGAATATGGGAAACCAGTGTGGCAGTGTGGAGCTCCACCTATTCCCTTGACTCCGCTATGACCAGCCAATCATCCAGATAGGCCAATACTCTGATCCCCTGGAGGGACAGGAAGTGTGTATGTATGTACGTGTATATATATATATATATATATATATATATATATATATATTAGATGATAGGGAGAGCCCGAAAGGCAGGACCAGAAACTCTTAGGCCATACCCTCGAAATGGAGGATGTATAGCCACATGAAAATACGCATCCTTCAGATATATGGACGTGAACCAATCGCAGGGACGCACCGACTGCGAAGTGTGAGCATTTTAAACTTGCAAACCTTGAGGTGTTTGTTTAAAACACGCAAGTCCAGGATGGGATGCAATGTTCCATCACTCTTGGGAACTAAAAAGTACCGGCTGTACCAACCACTCTGTACTTCTGACACGTGGACCACCAGAATAGCCTGCTTTTGAAGGAGAGAAGAAATCTCCTCTCTCAAGACAGGCGCTAGGACCTTGGGGACCATTGACGTAATGACGCCACGAAAAGGAGGATGCACAGCATTGTGACCACATTCAAAGACCGGGCTGCCACACCCTCAGCCAGGTGATCTGCCACTCTACGACACAGCTACATCAAAGGCGCATTAACCACCAATGGTTCACTCTCCCCCGCCGAATCCAAAGCCGGGGCTTTAGGCTGCCCCGGACTGATGTCATCCGATTTACACTCTGAAAACCCTCCAGAGCCAACCAGAGATAGGAATGAGCCTCACTCGGCTTGGATGACACCCCAATAAACTCAGACCACCACTGCTGCTCTTTCCTGGCCTCAGACAACCCCATTCCTGAGGTCGCTTAACCCAATTTTTCTCACAAAGTCAGCCCGACCCCCAATGGAAGTTGAACCCAGCCGGAGACAATAGTCACATGAACTGGTCCGAGCCAAAGCCTCCTGAGCGTGTCTCCACCCCAGGCAAACAGGACAGCACTCGTGAGTGTCTTTTATTTTAATTGTGAAACCACATGCCCTAGGGAAAGGTCGGAGGTTCAAACTCAGGTTAGCCTTTTTTAACTTACTCTTACCACTGGCCATCTTACTCAAGCAAGGAAGCACTGACTACACAAGCAGAGCAGAAAATCGTGGGTTTTTAGCAAACACGAATCCTACCCAAGCAAGGAAGCATTAGCTACACAAGCAGAGCAGAAAGTAGTTAGCTTTTAGCAAACACAAAAACCAATACCAAGACCCAAGACTCGCAACATCTAGGGGGATGAGTACTCTCTCCCCACTAACAGACACCTAAGTCGGAGCCGAATCTCGTAGTCTTTGTGTGCTTGAAAAGCTTGTAAATTGCGTGACATGCGAGCTGAAGAGCGAAGAATTGAGGAAATGAATGCGAGCCCTGGTATTATAGCCAGGAAGGCAGGGTTTCTGAGGGTGGGCTCGGCATCCATTGGCCCGTTGGCCGTAATTTCAGTTTTCTTCAGGTGAATATGATTGGTCTTTGACTCCCAATAGTATGTTATACCGAGTGACAGACTGAAAGGGAACCTCTAGTAACTTCAAGGCCTTTTCTAACACGTTCAATTGTATTTTGATTTCTCTGTCTGGGAGAAAGAACATCTTCATGGTCATATGGATGCAAATGCAGGTGTGTGTGAGTGTGTGAGGGTCAGAGACATGCAGGCTGGCTAACAGAGCCACAGAAGAGACTACAGTGGTGTGTTGTTCTTCCATAGCTGACCTGCAGCGATCCCACCCTCCACTAGCTCCCACCTCCACCTTGTACTGCTCACTTTTAAAGCATACTGACTACTATTACTACGCCTGCCTTTGTTCATTAATCACCACTTCAAACCATGTGCTAAGCAGGCAAGAGGCTATTCTAAACGCATGGCCTGTTGGATTTCTGTATTCCAAACACTACTGCTTTGACAGTTTGTACATATTCAATAGTCTTTGCCTTGGTGCTGTGTTGTTGAACCAACAGGCACTGCAGCATATTAGTAAATATATTTAAGTAAATGTTTTCTCTTCTTTTTGTGGTAATTTTCTTGGTCAGATCATTTGCATCTCCCTTCCGTACAAATAGTGCTGCGTCGCCCGAGGAATGCTAGACAAACGAGTTGTTGCCTGGGACATTGAGGGAGAGCTAGGTGTTATTCTTTCCAATGCATCATTCTGTCACTGTGTTATAGTAGAGCCTTCGCTCTCTGATTCTGCCGAGCAGAAATGAATGCTAATCACTATTATGGAAACCGATGAATTCAGGGGATTGGCCCTCATCATAGAACAAGCTATTTAATCATTCCATTTAAAAATAGAAAAAAAGAAAATACTTCTTTTTTTCATGCTACATCTGGGATCACAGCCTTTCCATTCGAGTGCGGGAACATCAAAGGAACTCACTGATTACTGTAACATGCAACAAAATGTAATCAGCTGATATCATGTCTCAGAGCCGCTTCACTTTATGTAACATCAACAGTAGCAAAAGCAAAAGATATGAGCAAACGGAGGTGATCAAAAGTCGAACTGGCTTCAGTGAAACAGCATTTCCTGCAGGGATCCAGGTGTCTCCAGCCTCGCCCCCTACTGACCGCTGACCCCTTAACCCCAACACCCATCACTACTTGTGCCTGTTGTTATAACCTATTGTAATACATGTATTATTACAAAAAATGGTGGCAAAGTCCTATTGAATTGGGTGGTTTGATACAGTAAATCTGCTTTAAAATGAGGTGATTCCAAACTGAGCTTGATCCCAATGTAACATATAGATCTGGACAGAGGTTAGACTAGAGTACCTGAATCTGGTAGAAAACCACACCTGAAAACAAGAGCTACACACAAGAGAACAGAAATATACACATAAACTATCCAAAGCATCGAAATGTAAAAGTCAGCAGTCATCATACAAAGCAAATGGAACATTAGAAAACAAAATACCATTTTTTTCCCCTTTTGGACTAGTGGTTGGTGGATTCAAATTAAACAAGCCTAAAGAAAACCAAACAAATCAACGCAGAATAACCTTGAACTGAATCAAATGCAAGTGACTTCCAAAAATGAAGAAAACAAGATATAAATCATTTTGTCAACATGGACATTTGGCATTCAGTGAAGTTTTAATTACCTCTTTACGCCATAGGCCATATTAAGCAAATTGTCCAGCCTGTAAAGAGAAGGAGGGTTCTGGGGTTAATGCCAGGCAGATGGTCGACTCACTCAATGGAACTAATGCTACATCCCTGCCTCAATCAAAGAAGAAAGCCATCCAGAGATGGGCCATTACACTGAGGAGCCACACCGGTCAGGGTTGGTGTCATTCACACAGTAACAAAGCAGCAGGCTAGCTAGCAACAGTACTGTACAGCGCTATCACAAGAGGTCACTTTGACGCCCAATCAGCCAGCACACTGAGAGCATGAGGCCCTATGGAGAGCACTCTCACTCTCTACACATTCTTATGCTGAATGTGGCTTTCAGAGGTTCCGTTGTACATCTCTGCTGTTGTGTTGAGGTCAAATAATTGATAAGTGATTTATAATTGGGAGTTAAGCCATAGTACTTACGTCAAAGAAAATTTAGAAATCTTGTCTTTCTCATTAAATTCAATGTCGATCCTGAGTCTGGACAGCATAATGAAATAATGATTATTCATTATTCATAAACTGTGAGGCATCATTATTCCAATTGCCCCTCAGGTACTTTGGCATTATGTTTGTAATTTTCAAGAAGGTTGTGAGATAAATTGTACTTATATTATAGTACTAAATAGAAGCCTACAATAATAATAAAAAAAATGAAGACATGTCCCCTTCTCCAGAGTTCTGTCAGTGTAATGGTTTGGCATTTTGTGAGAGATGGTAACGGTTTTAAGAGAGGAAGATGACAGGTATAACGTTGCATGGTTTAAAAATAACTAAAAACACTACCTGAACAGTAACTGACCAAAACATTTTGTTTTCTGTTGACACCTTTTCATGTGGAAAGGGTATAACATTTCCAATGGGATGGTGTGTGTTAAGCCCAAATCAAACGGAAAAGTGTTTTTTTACGCACGTGAACACGCTGGAATTAGAATGCACGGTAGTGAATGAGAGAAAACAGACGGCGTCAACAGCATCATAGCGCGTCAAATTTAGAAAGCAAGTCTATTTTTCTTGCGTCTACGCAGCTACGCAAAGCCATGCTGGTAAAATGAACAGATAAATTGCCAGAAAATAGGCATTGTTACATCTATTTAGTGTTTATAATAATACTTCCAGTGCCAATAATACATATTTGAAAACAATAATGTTATGCCTACCTGTGTTGATTTCGATCACAGGCATATAGACTAGGCAGGCTAGGGCTGGGAAACTCGAGGAACTCCGATTTCAAGAGAGAATACTGTTAGTAGAAAGAACGAGACTAGATACATTCTTTACAAACTGCTTGGGTGTATTAGCTACAACTGTCCTCACAAACGTTTGTGAGCTAACATAACAGCTGTTTAGAGCAGGCAGGTACGGTGGCTCCCGTAGGACATATAAGTTGAGTCAAAGGAACATACAACAACAATTCACAAGGGCTACATAGCGAACTTAACAAACACAACTGTTTATTATGGATTCTCATGACAATTAAGTTGGCATACGCTATGCAGTGTATGTGAATTGACGCTCTCTACTCTTGCGTGCAAATTTGGACACCATTGACGGCGTCTCTCCGTGTGATTTGGGCTTTAGTCAGTGCTGCTAGCTGGCTGGGAGGAACAACCAGGCTGGTCATGCAGACAGATAGTCACTGTGCTCAGTGGGCCAAGGATGGAAGCCACTCAGCCACATAAATCAGAGGCTTTTTGGATGCGGCCTGCTTGGCCACTCAATGACCTTCATGTGTCACATGGGTCTGCACTGTCTCATGTCTTATTAAGCCCTTCAGCCTAATGGAAGGGTTGGGAACTTGGGGCCATTCTAAAGTACTTCAAAACACACTGAATGTGCTACAGGTCATCAGTGGGCAGAGATGCAGTCTGTGAACCTGACAAAAAAAATCTAAACAAAGCACAAAAATATGTTGACTCATTAAGGCAGCAATTACACCATTATGTGGGCTGGGACTGAGCAATCTGCTTTGTGGGTAAATGAGTCAATTGACTGGAAGCTCTGAGGAGGCTGTGCTGGAGACATCTGCTGGGCTGCTGCTGCAAAAACCAACCTACCTTGGATGCCAGCTTTTCATACAGCCTCTCCAAGCCCACAGCACACAATAGGGCCTTTGTGATGCCTCTCAATGCATGTAAATGGGAAAGGTCCGTTTAAAAAATCTGTTCAATTAAAACCTGCTCATACCTTAGATATAATAAACTTAATTGACTTATTACTGTAATTAGTAATGTGGAGCATCACTAATAACTGAAATCTACTGTTTTTCTATTTTTTTTGTTTGCTTCTTAGAGGAGGACCAGACAAACAGGCATTATATTTAATGGTGGCAAATGGGCGACATTGACAGGATATGTGATGCATTTCTGTCGGAGTTTGTGGATTAGGTTTAGTCCTGGGGCTGTTGGTTGTAATGGTGAGGCCTATGTGTATTACAGGCAGTGAGCTAGCTCTGTATCTCCTAACTTTGTTGGTCTAACCTTTCTGTAATATGCGCCACAATCTAAAATACATTTTTCATTAAGATCATAATTTAAATATTCTCATTGGGATTACAGTCTGGAATCAGTGAGTATCATGGGGTATATTTGATTTGGAAATTAACCTTGGATGGTGAGAGGGGATGACAGTTTGTTTCATTATGGAATAAGGAGGGTGATCTGATGAGGTGATGTGATGGAGACATTGTGAACGACAGAACCCCACTGTCTCTTGTGAACAGTTCTTCTCTGATATGGGTGGAGCTGCAGGAAACCCACTCTTTTGGAACAAAAATGCGTTCTTGGTTGAATGCACCAAGAATCAGAGATCTCATTGGTGATTGATGACTCACAAGGTGGTTGATCGTTGCAATTAGACATTAAAATCCCATACTCAACTTTACAGTACATATTACAGTAAAAACATCTCTCTGAACCAATAGCCCAATGGCTGAACCTGACCACGACCTTCTGACCCTTGTTGTGAGCCCCAGGTGTTTACCTGAACCTCTGGGCCTGGTGGTGGAGGGGGCCTGGGTACCGGCGGTTGGGGGACTGGTACAGCTGGGACAGCAGGGCTTGGCTGGTCTTCTGGCTGGGGTTGTTGGCGAACTTGACAGTGATGGGCTCGGCAGCTCCAGAGGGTTTCTGTCCATTCAGCCCCTTGATGGCCTCCTCAGCCTCTATCCTCTTATCAAAGCGAATGAATCCCACACCCCGCGAACCACCTGTGGGGCCAACACATCACAAACAGGAGGGGCGTCCTTTTACTTCACGTGGTTCCAGTTAGATCACACACATCTACACACACATACTGTACATTTCACATCCCATGTTCTCTTTTTCATACATGGTACAGAGAGGATGTCTGTTATCTTATTAGTCATGTATAAAGCAATGTTTTGTAAAAGGGATACAATGAGTTGGAAATGATTTGTTTTCCATTCTGAGAGGGATTGTTTTATGGGTTATTTGAAGAAGACAGGATAGGGCAGAGGGAAAAGCGAAGGCACCACCATGATTTCCTGTGCTGTCAAAGAGACAGTTAATTTGTCTTCCTCTCTCACGAAGAGCATGAGAGCAGGCTATAGTGGAGCTGATGCTTGCTGATGCAGAAATGCTGTTACGTTGTTTGGGTGCTAGCTGCTGTAGTGCTGCGTCTCCTCACAGCTCGTTGAGGCTACAGCGTGAGGCACTTTGGACTCAGCACACACTGCAGCTCTCCTCCTAGCTGAAGGCCACACACTCAGGCCTCACATCATGTTGCCGGCGACATTTGAGTCGTTTCCAAGGCAATGTTTTTTGACCGCCACCTGAAAGTAACATTTGAGAGACGCAATGCCCGGAAGGTCTTTTGTTGGTCTCCATAAACGCGTGCTTCTCATTTTGTTAATGAGGCTCGCTGACTGGCCCTGGGGACGCTCACTCAGTAACGGCACGCTGCCAGGACTATTTGCATAATACTGTGTGTGCACAGACTGGCATCTCTACACCACACACAGAAACACTTTTTATTGTCATTTCACTCTCTGCTCTCGAAATGCAGCTTGCGCTTATTGAAGTTTTTCTGTTCCGCTATCTCATTGTCTTCTTGTGCAGCCCTGAACAAACATTTACACACAATCTCTCCAATGCCGAATACTTTCATTCACTCTAATGCTGTATTATTTTCACTGAGGGTTGCTGCCACTCTTGACAATCTCTCTAAATCCCCTCCCTGCCTTCCCTGTATCTGTAATTTATAATTAGGTTGTCACAGCTAGAAAATAATGAACACATAGCCTGTTATTCCAAAGGGGTTTGAATTGTTGGCATACAGCTCTGGCTCCGGTGTGAAACTAGGGTCACTGCTGCTTCGGGAGAAAATAGTGTCATACCAGTATTCCTAGGTGGTAACTAGTGCATACTGTTTTTGTATATTCTGTTGATTTGTTTGTCACTTTACGCTGAGTGTACAAACTTTAGGAACACCTGCTCTTTCCATGACATAGCTTTCACCCGGATTCACCAGTCTATGATTCCTTATTGATGTCACTTGTTAAATCCACTTCAAATCAGTGTAGATGAAGGGGAGGAGACAGGTTAAAGAAGGATTTCTAAGCCTTGAGACAATTGAGACATGGATTGTGTATGTGTGCCATTCAGAGGGTGAATGGGCAAGACAAAAGATTTAAGTGCCTTTGAACGGAGTATGGTAGTAGGTGCCAGGCACACCGGTTTGAGTGTGTCAAGAACTGTAAAGCTGCTGTGTTTTTCACGCTCAATAGATTCCCGTGTGTATCAAGAATGGTCTACCACCCAAAGGACATCCAGCAAACTTAACACAACTGTGGGAAGCATTGGAGTCAACATGGGCCAGTATCCCTGTGGAACGCTTTCGACACCTTGTAGAGTCCATGCCCCGACGAATTGAGGCTGTTCTGAGGGTAAAAGGGAAAAAGGGAGAGGGTGCAACTTAATATTAGGAAGGTGCTCCTAATGTTTTGGACACTTAGTGTGTAAAAACGTAGTTGGGCTTTGTTTTACTAACTTTACTTTATGCATACCCACTGTGCAAAAACTGGTTGAATCAACATTGTTTCCACGTCATTTCAACCCAAAAAATCTATATGACGTCGTTAAATCAATTGGATTTTTTTTAACCCAACTTTTAACCTAAATCCAATGACATGGTGAATGTTTTTGTTGATTTCACGTTGAATTCACGGTAGCTGAAAACTCAACCAAATGTAATTCAAAACTTGACGTTGAACTGACGTCTGTGCCCAGTGGGTAGTTTGTTTGTTATACATAAACCCACTAGCTACTCCTGTCAAGAATGTCCCTTGTCGAATAGGAGGGGTTGCATTATAAGACTACAGTATTTTGAGATGCAAGGTGCTTATTTCACTGTTTCTAGAGCTGTGAAAGACATGTTGACACCCTGTGGACTCTTCTCCTGTGGGGATATGATCACACCTCATTGGAAGAGAGAAGACAAGCACCAGTCCTCTAAGCCCCTTGGCCTTGAACTGCACCAGGCTGCAGCTGCTTGAAGAGGTCTACACACCAGCAGTGCTTGGCATAGAGATGAAGGCTGCAAACACATTCAGGGTGGGATCTGAGGAAAACACCCCAGCCACTTGAATGAAGTGATGAATTGAAGTGGTGTCTTTAAGAAATGGGTGTGAAGAGTGGAGGGCTACTGCATTGGTATATGGGGACTAGCTCAGTCCTTGTGTATGTGGAGAGGTAGGAGGGTCTTGTGCCTATACACTAGTGCTGTGGAGAGGTGGATGGTCTTGTGCCTATATGGAAGTGCTGTGGAGAGAGGTGAGAGGGTATTGTGCCTATATGGAAGTGCTGTGGAGAGAGGTGAGAGGGTCTTGTGCCTATATGGAAGTGCTGTGGAGAGAGGTGAGAGGGTCTTGTGCCTATATGGAAGTGCTGTGGAGAGAGGTGAGAGGGTCTTGTGCCTATATGGAAGTGCTGTGGAGAGAGGTGAGAGGGTCTTGTGCCTATATGGAAGTGCTGTGGAGAGAGGTGAGAGGGTCTTGTGCCTATATGGAAGTGCTGTGGAGAGAGGTGAGAGGGTCTTGTGCCTATATGGAAGTGCTGTGGAGAGAGGTGAGAGGGTCTTGTGCCTATATGGAAGTGCTGTGGAGAGAGGTGAGAGGGTCTTGTGCCTATATGGAAGTGCTGTGGAGAGAGGTGAGAGGGTCTTGTGCCTATATGGAAGTGCTGTGGAGAGAGGTGAGAGGGTCTTGTGCCTATATGGAAGTGCTGTGGAGAGAGGTGAGAGGGTCTTGTGCCTATACGCTAGTGCTGTGGAGAGAGGTGAGAGAGTCTTTGACCCCACTAACAGTAACACCTCTCATTTCTCCTTTCACTGCCCTATAGACCTTCTGGGCATGAAGAGAAACACTGCTACTGCACTGCAAGGTCGGCTGGCCTAATGCAATTACACCACAGCAGGTTAGGCGACATTGCCCTTTGACTGTGATACAGCGGCAGAGAGACTCCATACAAGCAGGTCTGTGCGTCAGACTGCTGATAGCTGGTGCTTCGGAGGACAATCTAATGTAGGGTATCATTTGGATTCCATCTGGGGTTCCTCAAGCAAGGCAGAAATCGAAGAAAACGATCCCAGAAGTCATCTACCTAATAGTAAAAAAAAAACTAAATGACTGTCTTAGTGTTGATATAGTGGCTTTTTTTTACTAGCTTTTTCAGCATTAACATAATGAGCTTCTAGCGGTTTTTTTGTTTTTTTACAGCATACCAAAACAAAGCAAACAGGCAGGCTGAGGGAGGCTGGGAAGCAGACGGTACAGGCAGGCAGCTTCAGCCGGTTCCAGCACTTACACACAGGCCATACAGCGTTAGGCCACAAATGTACTACGTGCTACAGGCACTTTCCTCCACAGTAATCAGCAGGGCTTATGTAACTCTACCTGTACGTATCTATTCCCAGCACACAGGAACCCGGAGAATGGCTGGTTTATTAATAACCCCAACCAGAACAAGGAAAGACAGTGGCAAGGAGCTGCCGGTGCCCTGACAAAGATTTCTGCACGCCCACTGCACCTGGGCACTACCAGGGCGCTCCACAACACTACGCTCGCAGTCCCGGGGACAATAAGGCAAACATTCCTCTGGGAAATCTGGAGATCTGATAATCTGGCCAGGTGGCTGATGAAAGCCTTCGCTCTGCTCTCCAAACCTGAGCACTTCCTGCCGTTTCTCATTCCACTCTTTTAAGTGGCTATGCCAACTGTATGGAACATTTATTAAACACACACACTAAATAGAATGGAAGAAGAAAATAATCTTACCGCCTCCTAATCAGAGAGAGAGAGAAATAGAACAAGAGAGAAAAAATGTCCTTGTTTTATGTAACTTTGTTTGTGGGGATAGATACATATGGACTTTGAAAAGGCAGTGGGATAGAAACCTACCTCTGAAGAGCTTACAGTAGGTGCTCTCTGCTGAGTTAAAGCCATCTGTCTGCTTCTATGTGTGACCGCAGGCCAAAGTAACCATGTAATACACTCCATGTTATGGAGTCTGGTGGGTTATAGACACCAGGACAGAGAGGACTTGTACAAGGTCTTATTTTATCTGAGCCAGAATGTATTACACCATTTATCATCAACCTCCACTGTAAGAGTGTAGATGTGTCTATGGAGAGGAAGTCACATACTGATTGATAAAGTAGAAATTCAATAGGGGTTGTATGTACAGTATGTGTGTAGTGCATATTAATGTTCTACATGCTCATTATTGTAATATATAATAATATACAGTGCCTTCGGAAAGTATTCAGACCCCTTGACTTTTTCCAAGCTCTGTCAGGTTGGATGGGGAGCGTTGCTGCACAGCTATTTCCAGGTCTCTCCAGAGATGTTCAATCGGGTTCATGTCCAGGCTCTGGCTGGGCCACTCAAGGATATTCAGAGACTTGTCCCAAAGGCACTCCTGCGTTGTCTTGGCTGTGTGCTTATGGTCGTTGTCCTGTTGGAAGGTGAACCTTCGCCCCAGTCTGAGGTCCTGAGTGCTCTGGAGCAGATTTTCATCAAGGATCTCTCTGTACTTTGCTCCGTTCATCTTTGCCTCGATCCTGACTAGTCTCCCAGTCTCTGCCACTGAAAAACACCCCCCACATGATGCTGCCACCACCATGCTTCACCGTAGGGATGGTGCCAGGTTTCCTCCAGACGTGACGCTTGGCATTCAGGCCAAATAGT